GCGTCCGGCACTTTTTGACGAGCATTGTGTGGACGGGGGACAGTGCGCTCCGTCTCTCTCGCACCCCCAACGAACGCCCCGTTTTCGTTTGCCGGTGCGGCAATCAACCCACAATCAAGTGGCGCTCACTGTGGAGTCAGCGTTCCACATCAGGAGGTCAGCGTTGCGGAGGCAAAGAGTCCAAAGCCACGACTTGCAACCCCCAGTTGCGTTCCGTCTCGTTTTCTTGGAGCGCGAGGATGCCAGAAAGCCATTAGAGGCAGGCCTCCAAAATGACTCACTTGATGTGGGCGGCCGGGCTCCCTCCCCCACTGTAAAACATGTCGCCGCGGCGCCTCGGACTTCCATTACACGCGCTAATGTGCAATGTATAGTGTTAAATTTTAATTTCCAGCCCGGCCCGGAAGTCGTCCAGAGGTTCTGGTCCGTGTCCGCGCCACTGGAAGGAAAAGACCCGCCAGCGTCGTCGCTCTGTCTCTCTCGCACTCGTGGGGCGTTCCATACAGGTGCGAGAGAGGCAGAGCGGCGAAAACGAGTTTCGGATCGCATCAGTCGGCAGCGCACAGACGACACCACGTCGGGTAGTCGCCCCCAAAGCCGAAGCCGGGCCGAAGCCCAAGACCCCCCTGGGCGCTGTCCGCGCCGTCCGGGGCAGTGATGGACGACGGTGGTGATGAAAAGTCTGCGAGGCAGTCAGCAGACTGATTCCGAGCACTGCTTTCGTCGCTCTGTCTCTCTCGCACTCATGGCACGTCCCACGTAGGTGCGAGAGAGACAGCGTCAAAAGCAGTGCTCGGAATCAGCCTGCTGGGCCAGGGGCAGCCAGGGGGCCCTGGCCCTCCCTTTTTCGGCCTCGGGGCAGCAACGAACCCCGATCGCAGCCGACCTCATGCTGCTCGCAAAGCTCGCAGAGCCGCGTGTGCACTTTCAAAAGCCAGGGGAGGGGAACGTTCCGCGAGGCGGGATGGAGCACACGCTGGAACAGGCGCAGATCCAGTGAGGGAGGCAAAAGGACCAAACCCCTAGAGTCTGGGCCTAGACTGCCATATGAAAGATAGCGGTAAAAAGCCACACGTTACCTTGCTTCGCCCACAGCAAGTACACTCAGACAAGGTGGTGCCCTGAAACTGACCGACTAAGTCGCCCGCCCCAGTTTTTAGGGCGACTTGAGTCGCCTACTTTCTGGGCGACACAGTCGCCTAGTTTCTGGGCGACACAGTCGCCTAGTTTTAGGGCATCTTGGTCGTAAATACAGAGCTTACTTATGAATGCTGGCCCAAGGCGCCCTCAACCTGAGCACCTTTGGGGTTGGTCCGACCTAATGTAAACCACTGCTGCCCAGATTCGGGGCACCCATTGCGCCTAGATTCGGGGCATCTCTGACGCCACCCAAATGTGAAATCATTGAGTTTATCCATGTGCAGGCAAACTTGTGTGCAATGCCTTGGGCCAGCATAGATAAGTAAGCTCTGTATTTGCGACCAAGATGCCCTAAAACTAGGCGACTGTGTCGCCCAGAAACTAGGCGACTGTGTCGTCCAGAAAGTAGGCGACTCAAGTCGCCCTAAAAACTGGGGCGGGCGACTTAGTTGGTCAGTTTCAGGGCACCACCTTGTCTGAGTGTAGGCAAAAAATGCTTGCGCACCCCTCTCTCGGGCCGGTCCTGGATCCGCCACTGCTCTGGAATGGGCGTGGGGAAGAGAGGGGGGGGGGGTGACGGCGAGGCCGGGCGAGCCAAAGTGTTTGCCTTCCAGGTTGCGCCCTGGCCGCCCTCGCCCCGGCCGTTGGCGCCGCCACCCCGGCCACCCCGGCCAGGATGACCTTCTCAACTCTCCATTCTCGTCCCAGCCCGGCCCTCGGCCCGGCCTGGCCGCCCTGGCCTCGCCCTCGCCATCGGGCTGCCCTATAAATGTGACCTGGTTTTCCCGCCGCGCAGGCCGAGGAAGCAACGCGAGCAACGCCCGGGGAAGTCCAGACCTCCAGACGCAGTGCAGCGCCAGCAGCACCAGCAGCGCCCCCGCAGCCCTGCCTCCGAGGGGGCAACAGCTTCCCACAGTCACTGAACAAAATTTGACCACATTCCCACATTCAGGTGGCAAAAACGCCTGAAAGTAGGCAACATGAGTGGCGAAAACGCCAGATATCTTGCACATTCCTATGCACATTCACACAATCATTGTACACAAAATTTTACAGTGGGTCACCCCTCGACCGCCATGGCGGACCCTGGGCAATAAGTCGAATACTTTGCCCCTGTCAGTGGGCAATCTTGTTATCCCCACCCCCCTTGAACCCTTCTCTACGTCCACCCTTGCCACCACGCCTAGGTGCGCCTGCTGCAGGTGGCAGTTCCTCGGCGTGGCGCGCGGTGCCGCGTCACTTGGCGCTTGGCGCGCTGCTCGCTGGCTGCGCTTGGCGCTCTGCGCTTTGCGGCCTGACCTTCCGCCGCACCCGAAATGCCGAAAGGCCAGGACCGTCCGAGGGAACGGAACGGAACGGACCGTCGGGTAGCGACGCGCAGCGCGCAGCCCCGTGCACAGTGGGCCAGAAGACCGGTGGAGGCGGCCAAAATTCCGGACGCGTTTTGAGCTCCCGAGTCGCTAAATGGAACTAGAACCGAGCGTGTGACCCCAACAGTGGATTGCTCTCCGAACGAAGAATCCATTGCTGGGGTCACACGCTCGGTTCGAGTCCTGTTTAGCGACTCTGGAGCTCAAAACGCGTCCGGGATTTTGACCGCACCCTCCGGTCTTCTGGCCCACAGTGCCGTGGCGACGTGGCCGACGTGGTCATGGTAGTCCAGCAGAGACACCCGAGACGCACTGCGTGGCACTGCGCGGGCCTTCCTCGAACAGCGAAACAACATACGGAGGTGTGCGCTGGCGCGCTGGCGCTAAACGACCCACCCCCTTTTCCCCCTTTTCAATGCAGCGCCATTAGGCTAACCGAGTCAAGACGACACCATTCGGCCCGCCTCGTAGCCTCATCCCGCCGCCGTGTTGTTTTTGTTTCGTTTTTCGCGGTGCAGTGGCCCTTATCACCGCGATGGGCGACGCCCGGCGACGCCTACTGGCGTCTAATGGCCGGCGAGTGATTTAGCGAGGCTGCGTTGGCAGCCCTGCAGGGGCCGCGCCGCTCGCAGGCCGATTCCCGTCCCTCTCGCACACGCGGGGAGTCCCGTCGGGGTGCGGGAGGGAGAGAGAGAGAGAGAGACAAGCACAGTTCGGAGTCCACCTGCAGCAGGGCCTAGAGGCCGCGCCCCGCCAGCAGTCGCTGTCTCTCTCGCACCCCGACGAGACGCTCCGTGAGTGCGAGAGAGACAGCGACGAAACGACGCCTCGGCATCGGACGGCAGGGCCGGCGGGGCCAGGGTGAACAGACTGGGGCGGGACAGAGACAGAGCGAGTCCTTCCTGACGGCCTAGACCGAGCGGGCCGCGGTGCCGCGGTGCCCGCACAGGGCGTGGTCGCGGCCCGCCGTCCGCCAGGGCTGCCAGGGCGGCCAGGGCCCTGCAGGGGCGGCCGGACGGGCCAGGACTTCCCCGCCGCCCCCGAATCGATAAAATCAGCGCCCAATCGGCGGCCGAACCGAATCCGGGTGAATCAGCAGCGGGCAGGTAGCGCCTCCGCCACGCCTACAGTGGTCTAGCGCAGCGCGGCCTACTGTACCGACTTCGCACCTCCGCCTCGGGAAGCATCGCCTCCACCGTCTCGTCTGCCTGCATGGCCTGCGTTCACTGGCGACGCTCTCCTTCCGTCAGAGTCTTCGGTCGGTGGACTGCGAGGACCGGGCCGGGCCCGCGTCGTCTTGCACTGCTTGGACACGGAGCGACAGGGCGGCGAGGCGAAGGGCTGCAAGGGCTGGCCGGCAACAGGTGGCCCTGGGCGCCCTCGGCAGGGATGGCCTATGGCTCGCCTCGCCGGCCGCTGCTCCATGGACCGCATGCACCGCTGTTGGATGCTGGATACGGCCTTCCAAGCCGCCCCACTGTCTTTGCCTCCATGCATGCCTCTCCATCCGGGGTACAGAGATATCAGTGAGGGTAGGTAAGGCTGAGGCAGGGGGAGGAGGGAGAACTGCACGGACACGGCAGGCCTGGGCACGGCCGGCCTTGTCCACACGCCCCCTCGGCCCTCCTCCACCCCCGGCCCTGGGAAATGCGATAAAAGGTTCCGCGTTCTAGGTCGCCAGGTCGGCCTAGGTCGGCCTAGGTCTGCCCAAGGCCCGGCCCAGCCCGGCCGGCCAGCGTGTTTGGGCAGCGAGCGACGCTCAAACACAGAGGGCATTCTCCGGGCGGCAAGGCAAGGGGTCGGCCACGTATCATGTAACGCCTTCGGTCTCTCTCGCACTCACTGACAGTCCATGAGGCGTGACGAAAACAGAGCAATGGGCCGGCGTTATCAGATTTAAAGACAACCCCCTAAGTGCCTGTCGTATTGCGTAGAGACTAAGGCTCAAGCGTAGTGATAGCACGGATAGCAGTAGAGATGACAATAAGAAAAAAGAAAAAAACAGCAAAATACCCCTGCCCCTCTCCAAATTTAGCCTTGCGAAATAAGACCACCACACATTTAGATCATAGACTTTAAGTTTTGATCGGTGGCGTTGATTGAACACACAACGAAATTGCTGTTCACCAGGCGATGTAAGAATGTCACGCATTTCCACTGATTTATCACAACGTAGAGGGAAGGGGAAACAAAGAAGGCTTTGAACAAACAATGCGATGGAACTACTACTACTTGGAGCCAGAAGTAAAACATGAACACGAAACACTGAATAAATCAGTGCACTACATGCATTCCGCTAAATGTAAACTAGAAGTAAAAGTGATCAGTGTAATCGGAAAAAGGCTTTGACAATACTTTTACTTTTAAACGGTAAATCGAGCGGTAAATAAAACCATGCACAGAGAAGTTCAATAACTTCAATAGACTTGATCTGGTGGGGGCCTAGCTTTTCAGGGGCAGAGTGAGAAAAACAGATAGTACGGTACTTACATGTTGTGAGAACAGCTGGCAGAAGAAGTCGGAGCAAGCAAAAGTTGAGGATGTAGCTCATCCTGCCTCCTGCAAGACAAAAACCAAATACAAAAATTTTGAAATAGATTCATAACATTGCCAAAACCAATACCATCAAATGTAGATGGACACCAAAGAGATGAATTTTGAATATTAAACTAAAATGACAATTCTGGTTTGAACTGTACAAGTTGACAGCTCGCTCGATGTGGTACAATGGGAGTGATACATGGCAGTAGTGCTAGGAATGGCTCACCTTAAACGGCGCTCAGCGAAACAACGATGACCATAATGAAAACAACAATCTCCGCGAACTGCACTTCGCGGGTCCGCGCTGTCCGCGCACTACGAGGGTTAGAATCGCTGCCGGCTGCTGGCCGACGCAACGCAACGCGCGACGCGTGTCGGTGCAGACGCCACTCGCACACCACAACACCGCAAACTAGCGGCCGTCGCGAGTGCCCGGAAACACAGACAGCTGTCAGCGTCAGCCGAACAAAATCTTCCCGGCGAGGACCCAAGAGACGTCCGTCGGGCGCGGTGCCAGTCGCGTCTCGACTCGACTCGGCTCACCAAGACGAACTGACTATACTGCACAGAAGCAGAAGGATTCACAACAGTTTGAGCGGCGGGCCGCTAGCCCGCGCTTCTGGGAGAGGGGGGGCAGGAGAGGGGGAGGAAGAGGGGGAGGGGCGCACCACGTCCTCCCCACCCCCTCTCCGCAGCTGTTGCTACGCAACGTTTCGCAGCTGTCTTTTTCACTTTCGATAGTATCGAAACTCTCAATACTCCAGTTTCCAGAGTTGGCCAGCGGATTCGGTCAACTCTGACAACCACTGACAACCATCAACCATAGACTCTACCAACATGCTAAAACATCGGGAACCCGTGGCCGTGGCGCCATCGCACGGGACCCAAACGAACTACTGAAATGGCGGGAGATTTTGAACTCACGACTTATCAAGAGGGTTTGAGAAGTGGGTTTTGATCCGTATGACCTAGATGCTTCTCATGATAGAATATTCTGGCCTCAAGTTGATTTCAGGCCTGCGATTCACTCCTTTTTGGCGTTCCCAACCCAAGAACTCGTGTTGGGGTGGTCCGAGCTCTCGCTTCCAGAACACACCCTGGCCGGCCGGGCCGTGGCGAGCCGAGCCGCTTCGAGGGGAATACCCTCCCCGTCCAGCGAGCCGACGCCGACGCAACGCCGACGCCATTGCGAGTCGGTGCGTCGAAGGAGAAGGTCCTTGTCGGCTTGTCGGAAGTGCGTTCTCCATCTTCACTGCGCTTCAGGCTTTCAAGTCTGGTACTTGCATCCAACAAAGCTACGAAACTTAGGGTGAGTACTCTGATGCTTGTGGCTGTGAGGGTTAGTGACATAGTGACATGAAAAACTGGAATCGTACTTGTCGGGCAGGACTCGAACTGGTCGCGGGGGGCTAGGCTAGGGTCACTTCAGGCTTTCAAGTCTGGTACTTGCATTCAACGAAGCTACGAAACTTAGGGTGAGTACTCTGATGCTTGTGGCTGTGAGGATTAGTGACATAGTGACATGAAAAACTGGAATCGTACTTGTCGGGCAGGACTCGAACCGGTCGCGGGGGGCTAGGCTAGGGTCCTAGGCGGGCGGGGCTTGGGCAGACCTGTGGCGGGTTGAGGGTTCTCTGGGGGACTTCGAGCAGCGCCCTTTCTCTTTTCTGTTTCTGTTAACGCTGGAATATTTAGAAAGATTAGATGTAACGCGGTCGTTGGCAAGCCCGGGCCGGGCCTGTTCTCAACATGACGCCATGTGTGCATCGCCCTCCCCCACCCCACCCCCTTTCCCGTCAGAGACGAGGGGTCAGATCCTAGAGTTCCTTGTTTCGTCTTGTTTTGGTCGTTTACTCCCCGACGGATCGCCGTTATCGTCCGTGCTCTTCTAAATAGATGGGATTTATATAGCTATGAGACTAGCCGCGCAATATTTGTGCCATGTCAGGTGAGGGGAATACCCCAAGGGGGAATACCCCTGGGGGAATAGCAGCCAGCAGCCCGTAGGGGTTGGATGGTGGGATGGCTCGCATAGCTTAATAAATGATCAGCGACAGCAAGCACAGACCTGTCTATCGCCATGTATCTTATCATCGCGAATGAATGTGCTGGACGGGGCTGTCGAGATAACAGTGTTTCCTTCCACCCTTTCCGCGGGGGCGCGGCGGCACGGCGGCGATGGCTCCCGCGACGCCTTGTGTACGGCCGTGCTTTGATTTAGCTACTCCCCCTTTTCAAGTCATACCCACCCTACGCCGACCCCCTGTCCCCTTATTGTTCAGTTAGCCAAGTTTATTTTGCTTGTCAACTCCCGCCCCCCTCCCTCCAAATCCCTTCCCCACTTCTTTTTGTTCTTTTTGTGTTCGGGCCCTTCTGAAATTTAGTCACATGTTTTTGAGCAATATCATTGACCTTTGACCTCTCACCTTGCAATCCCCCCCCCCCCCCGAAACCCCACACACAATTTTGAAAGGAAATTTTGCTCCTTGTCTAGATTTTGCACTCATTCATCCTTCCCTTGTTAAAGCTTGCTTTTCCCCTCCCCTTTGCCATCATAATGTTCCCCATAATTATAATTCGTTTTTTGCTAACTTTGGTCTGCTATTCAACATAATTTTTTTTTCAGTAGTCGTCATGAGTGATAGTGGTGACATGAGTGACTGCGGCAGTGGTGACATGGGTGGCAGTGTTGCTGGTGACATGGACATTGGCAACTCTGTGCAAGGGGCTGAGACTGCTGTGGAAGGCGAGACCACTGTTGTTGCGGATCTTCAGCAGGAAACGTAAGTTTCTACCATTTTACCTGCGTTTTATTCTGCACAGTATGTGTTCCTTCTGCCAAAAATCCCTCCAGTTTTGCTTCTTTTTGTTAACCGCTTTTGAACATTTGGGAAGGGATCCAGTATGCTTATGTGACACCTTCTTAAGTTACTCTTTTCTAAGAATTTTTTCATACTACTTGTTGAGAGGTTAAATTAGTGCAAGTTGTGTTTCATTTTTAAACTATCTGATTTGTATTCTTACTGTTTAATTTGCATCCTAACATATTTCAATCCAATTTTGGTTCTTTATATATAAGGTATGTTTTGATTGCTACTGAAATCTTTTTCTACATTTGTCTGTCTTAGTGAAGAACCCGACAGTGCCTATGGCACTATGGTTCAGAACACCCCTGCAAGCTCTGTTGCAAGCTCCCTTGCAAGCTCAACTGAAACTATCAATGCAGACTGTGCCATGGACGTGGATGAAGTTTCTTCAAATGGTACCGTTCAAGCTACTGGTGATGATGTTCCATCGGACATGGGAGTGAGTGTGCGATTTATGATTAAGGAACTCAAAGCTTTTTATTTTTGTGTCAACTCTGGGGATCTAACTGTGATTGTGTATTTGCAGCTGCGCTGTGATGGATGCAAGAAACACTATGATTCCCGTACTCAGGTTGTGAAGGGTGAATGTGGACATGCTCAGTGCACCGAATGTTGGTCAAAGTCAAATAATCTTTGCTCCTCCTGCAGCATTGTAAGTATTTCTAAGTATTTGTGATCCATTATTCCATCTATCCATTTAATTATTTTTTTTTGTTGCTGAAATTTAAATTTTATCAGATCCGACCACTTTTTTTTTCTTTTTTTTGACAATTTTTATTTTATACTAACATAATTTTTTCTTCGGTTGTTTGCAGTATTCTCCAAATATGCAGCCAATGTCTCCAGAACCCATTGATGAACCGATGGAAGCCAATGCAAACAGCAAGTAAGTTTCAATTCTCTTTATAAATTGACATTTATAGGTAGAATTTGATCGTATGGATTTGTTTGTTGATTCCTAATTTTTTTAGCCGTTGATTTCATTCTTAACAATTGATTTCTACTGCACTTAGCTGAAATTTCAGTTATGTCTCTTTCAATTACATTTCTTTTTGCTTTTGGCTGTTTCAGGAGCAAGGGTGTACTCTTGAAGAGTTCCATTCAGGACAACAGTTCTGAGACTGGATTGAAGACTAAACTCAGTCATCCAAGCACTGGAGCAGTGTGAGTAGCAAAACCCGTCATTGGTCAACCACATCTGATACATTTTTTTTTATTGATGAGAGTTTGAGACTAATCTTAGCATGCATAAAACTTATATTTTTCCTTTGACATTTTCAGGAGCAAGGGTGTACTTTTGAAGAGTGCCACCCTCACTAAACCATTGAATGGAATGAAAGTTCAACCCGGCCAGCAAGGTGCATCTGCTCCAGCATCGTAAGTCAATATAACATTCATCTCTTTGCACGTGAACACTCTTCTGAACACTCATTGTGTTACTTTTGTGTTACAGGAATATGGCAGAGGTGAAAATCAAGTGCATGGATGGTAGACACCTTGATGAGAAAATTAACCCTAGCACCACAACTGTGGGCGGATTGAAGCAAACGATCCATCAGAAGACGGGCATTAGCTCCGAGAGGCAGCATCTGCTGCACCAAGGAAAAACCATGACTAATACCAGGAGTTTGCACTCCTATAGTGTTACTAATGGTAAGTGGCTGTTTTTAGTTTTTAGCTGTTTGTTTACGCATCATTACCATTTTCAATGCATAGATTAAGCATAAATTTTTTGTTTAATTTTGAGTTCTTTAGAAATGCTACTGCCTAACTTGTTACTTAATCTTTGTTTTGTTTTATGCTTGTTGCAGGATCCACCATCCAGATGGCTGAGAGATGCAGCGGTGGTTAACTACTTTTCTCTCTTCCTTTTTTTTTTTTTTTTGTTCCTTTTCAAGATTTTTGTTTGAGTTTGATATGTATTCCTTAGAATTTGTTAGAATTTTGCTATTGTTCTCTTCCTTAGTGTTAAATGATAGGATATCCTTTTATCTTTACTGACAGCATTCTGTAAATTCCAGATGCTGTGTAGAGTCCTCAGAATTTGTTAGAATTTTGCTATTGTTCTCTTCCTTAGTGTTAAATGATTGGATATCCTTTTATCTTTACTGACAGCATTCCGTAAATTCCAGATGCTCTTACTTAAAGCTGTGTAGAGTCAGTGAAATAAGGATTCTTTGTCTTCAGTAAGTTCATACTGAACTTGCCCTCGTATCCCTATTATGTTTTGTTATGTCAATTCTTTTCCATGCGTATTGTGTTAGAATATCGCTATCTTGAGTTATTTGAATAAATGGTTAAAATTTCTATCGGTTTTTATTGAAGTGACCGTGAGGTAGTCAAGACACAATTAGTTTTATTCATTTAATTATTAACAACACACATATGGCACAAGCCTGGGCCCCAGGTGGGATTGATTAATGAAGACCAGCGATGATCATTGTAACAAGCTAAAACTTTAACCAAGGATTGACAAAAAGCACTAATTGATAAACAAAATGACAGGAGAATTAGCTTTTGGGTGTCATATTTTTGAGCAAGAGCCTTATCGAAAGGAAAGCCCAACTAATTTTATCTACTCTCTCAAAATCCATCCACCTGTAAAAAAAAATTAATAGAATAGTCCTCTCACTTTCAAGCAAAAGAGGGGGGGACGATAAACTAAAATTAGTTAAAAAATGGAACCAGGAGAGAACTTAGCAACTCCTCTCAAAACTCGGTACAGCTTCGCAGCGTTTCGGTTCGGTTGGCTTTGCGGTGGACGAGCTATACGTATCCCCTCCACACACCACCGAAAGCTTGTTGCGCGCCTCACTACCAACACACTCTCCACTCAAGCTGAGAGTATCTGTCTTCAGTCTCCCACTTCGCTGGATTCAAACCCCCTTAATAACATTTTGAAATATTAAAATTGCATAAGAAGACCCGACAATATATTTCTCGTCCGAGGAACCTGCTGCAGATCTTAAATATCTCGGGCCGAGGTTGGCGCACTTTGATCAGCTGGTCCACTGCCGCCAACCTGACCTCGTCAATTGCAGTTAATTGCTTCATCGTGGAGTGGTGGCTCATGAATAGGACACAGTTTAAAATGCTCCTGAGATATTTTCTTGTTCCTTTGCCCTTTGAAAATTAAAACTGACCGAAAGATTCCCATTAGGCGTGACGATTGAGATTCTTTTTTTTACCCCAGGTTGGTCCTTCCGGGGATCGCGGCCCTTGTTGTTATTGTTTTTGTTGATGTTGTCCCGTCAGCCCGTACTCTGTCTTTCCCTCTCCCTCGCGCCCGTCTCCGCTTAGGCCCCTCGCTTGCCCCGCGGTGTTCCCCTCTCTCTCTCCGTCCCTCCCGCGGCCGCCCAGCGCCTCCGCGGGGACGCGCGACGGCGGGCGCGGCGCGGCACGGCGCGGTCGGATCAGTTGTTGAGTACACACGACACACAGTCAACCCCCGGACGTCGATGGGGGGCAGAGCAATATGGCTTCAGCGCGAGGGAAGCCTATCCCTATCCCAGTCTCGCTGGGAAATGACAATTCCTCAGCCGACCGACTGGTACGCGTCGGATACTACGAGCTGGACAAGACGATCGGGAAGGGCAACTTCGCCGTCGTCAAGCTCGCCACACACGTCGTGACCAAGACCCAGGTACGTCAGGCCCGTGCCGTGCCTAGCCGTCCCCGTCAAGCTGGTGAAGTGGCCCGCAAGGTCGCCGAGGAGGCGACGACGCGACGCGACGCGACGCGACTTGGTTGGGCGGCAGACGAGTGCGAGTGTGACAGTGGTGGGGCCCCTTGCCGTGGAGCCAGGCCAGCCGAGGCCGAGGGACGGAGCGGAGCGATTCGCAGTGCTGTGATTTCAAAATGTTTATCTTGGACGGGCGGTGGCGGACCGCGGCGCGCCTTGCGCGGTGCAGCGGGAATGACATGACATGACATGTGTGTTAAAGGCCACCTTGTTGATCGCGGCACCGGGGCACCACACCGCGGTCCGGGTGTTGTTGTCCCGCGTCGCCCGTCCCCTGCCTCTGCCAGCGGATACATTCCTTGTTTGGTTTTGAGGTTATGTCGGCTGCTGGCTTGGTTTCCCATCACTCAGTGTGGCTCGCAAGCCCTCTTTCATCAGGAACTAGACGGTAATCAACTTAAGCTTCGGCTTAGGCGACTTGAGCTGCGTCTTCCACACTGATTGTTGTCATTTTCTACCGGTTGTGTGTCGTCTGGCTATGTCGTCTACAGTTGTTTATTTTGCGTATTTGACATAATGCTGTTATCATTCTAATATTTAAAGCTGACATTGCTTTTGATTTCAAATTATTTCCTGACGAATCTTATGGTTTTGTTTTGAAAGTGTGAGTGGTTATTTAATAACTTTTTTTCTGAGGCTAGAAACTTTTATTCAGTGACATGATTCATTCAATCTCTTAGCTGTGTCGAGTGTCAATTCTAGAGACATACTTGAGGGCTGCAGGAGTTTTTCTCCGCTTTGACTCAAGAAAGTTAATAAATAGCTTGCACTTGCAAATTTCTTAACCATATTCTGATGTTTAATGTTTTGCACATAGCCCGTAGGATGCATGCTTTCACATCTTTACGTGTACGTTCAATGGAAGTTCATGATGGGTTTGTTTCCACATGATTTCTTGTATTTGCTCCAGTGGTTTCACACTGTGCCGTATCATTTCTTTGATTAGTTTACTTGTGATTTGCCAACCACTGCAGTATTGAGTAGAGCTGTATAACTTCAGTGAAGTTGAGGTACCCTGATTCTCAAAGTATGTGGTTGCTTCTGTGAACTGATTCCGAGAGTCGTTTTCTCTCTTGCACTCATTGGGGCGTCGGACATAGGTGGGAGAGGAACAGAGCAACATAAACGACTCTCAAAACCAGCTTGTTGCGTTGCAGCTTAGAACATCTAGGACCATACTCACATAGCACATATCGAATGTGGATTTCTGTCTCGGGCCCTTGATTGGAGCCGCATTGTCAACTGTCATTGTTCGACCAGGAAGGCATGATATTGAGCTACTAGTACATTACATTCTGTAGGTATTGACAGAAGGGTATTGACAGAATGTACCAGCCCAATATCATGCCGGTTGGGACACTTCCTGACACTGGAGTATTCGGCCTACTCGCTGCCCCCTACTCCACTCTGTAGCAATAGCAACAGGCTGGGACAGCTGGGGAGCTGGGGCAGGCGGCTGAGAGCTGAGAGGTGTTTCACCCCGGTTTGGGTTCAGCTGGTCGGCCGGGCCGAGACGGCAAGGCCCGCCCCGCCCCGCCCCGCCCCGCCCGCCTCGGCTAGGCCCGGCTAGAGGCACTGCTTCTGTGTGGATGGCGATAGACGCGCTATCTTATCTCGCGAGAGGACGAGAGTAAAGGTTGGTGCTAGGGCGCTGGGCTGCAGCCTGCATGCAGGCGGCTGGGCCGCGTCTCGCCGTGGCATTGGCGGCACTTCAAACCTTGCGAACCCGGCCCAAGCGCGGATCGGGGGGGGGGGGGGCGGCAAAAGGACAATTCCCCCCTCCCCGACCCCTAGATAGCCGCCTGAAAGGTAGGCAAAAAGCACCAATTTGCCCTGTAAGTAGGCAAAAAGTGCTACTTTGCCCCCCCCCCCCTTGGGCTGACTCTGGATCCGCCACTGACCCGGCCACCCTCGCCGAAACGACTGTCCTTCCCCGCCGGGCCGGGCGATTCCGAACAGGCCTTGTCTCTCTCAGAGGCGTCCTGCACGCGTGCGAGAGAGACGGCGACGAAAGACTCTGCGAATGAGACTCGGGCCCTCTGTGCCCTTCGTTGCTACGCCGATGGTGGGACAAGGACCGCGCTAGTCCTCGGCTGGACCTCGTGATGGGGCTTGATTGCCTCTGAATTGCCGAAGCGAAGAGAAGCAAAACGAGCGTCAGTGCCTTGGCAGTGCCTGCACAGTCAAACCGCGCAGCGCGGCGCGTGGCGGCACGGGGGGTGGGGGCGCGTCCGAAGTACCCGTCGACGTCGCACCCCGGCCGGCGGGGCCGCGTTTTTGGCGAGGCTCAGACAGGCGGAATGCGGAATGTTCGCAGAGCGAACATCATTGACGGGGACGTGAAGGAGGCCGCGACGGTCGGCGACGGCCGTCGCGGGGGAGGGGGCAGTGCCGAGGGCAGTGCGGGGTCGGAAGGCGGCGCCTTAAACATTTAGGGGGCGGTGGGGGCGTGGCGTTTGGGGCCGCTAGACAGAAGTGCCGGCGGGGCCACGGGCGCGGGTCGCGGGCCCAGGTCGGCCGGGCCTGGCGGGCCTGCTGGGCCGCGGGGCGATGACGATACTGGATCGATGGTGGCGGCGTGCGCGTTGCGGCGTTGCGCGTACGGGACGGACTGGACGGGCCTCTGGTGGGCAGCCTCTGGGCGCCTCTGGGTCACTCGCCGCCACTTGACGGGCCGTCATGTGTCGGCCGGTCCGGCGTCCGGCCTGGTCCGGCCCGGCCGGTCGGCGCGCACCCCGCGTGACTCGCCGCCCTGCTCGCCGCACTGCTTTGGCCACTTTGGCGTTGGCGGAGCTTCGATGTTTTCAGGCGCGGATACAGGGGGCAGTGTGCTTTTTGCCATGTGCGCCCCGCCGTAGGGTGGGGCGCGGGTGCGTCTTTCGGTCTTTGGCGACTAGGCAACCTTAAACCTTAAAACCTGCTTGTTTGCTGGTCCGTCGGCCCCCCGCCGCCCCGTCTGGCCTGGCGTGTCTGGCGGCAGCGCGGCAGCTGTGGCGGCGTGGCGAGGCGACCTTGCAGGTCAAGGCACCTTGCCACGCTCTGGCTGCCCCCTTCCTCACCTGCAGCCGCGGAGCCATGGCGTAGCCGCGCCCTGCCCCCTCCTGCTTCCGTAATTCGCGAGGCCCCCTTACTTCAGACAGACCTCTACCCCTACACTGCATGCACTGCACTCCAGGGCGTTGGTGCACCGGCTGCTGTGCGATGCAAACGGTGCGCCAAAGGATAGTGTTTGGCTTGCAGACCTGACCCCGTCCGGCGGCCTTAGAGTAGGGCCAGTTGGGGTAATGGGACACGGGGTAAAAATGGGACAGCTGTTTCTTGGTCAAGATTTGATGTTTTTAAAACTCGTGCCATTCCAAACGTGATGCTTTTTGGTATGACGTGAGTGCTAAAATGTCAAATCTTGAACAAGAAACAGCCGGGCCCCATTTTTACCCCGTGTCCCATAATTACCCACGGGACCCTCTGACACAGAGGGTCCCAAAATGACCCCAACTGACCCTACGTTACGTGATCTGACGTGCCAGGGACATTGTTCTCACTGCAGCGGGCGACATGTGCGCGCTCGCCAACACGCGCACGCACTTTGCCGCACCGCGCCGCTTAGCCTAGCTCCGCGTGCGGAGCGTGCGGAGCGTGCGGAGCGTGCGGAGCGTGAGGAGCGTGCGGAGCGTGAGGAGCGTGCGGAGCGTGCGGAGCAACACAACATAGCTGCAGGCCGATAAGTGACGGAAGACCTGGGCCGATGTGATAGGCCGCCCCGCCTCGCCCCGCCTCGCCGCGCCCCGCCCCGCCCCGCCGCGCCCCGCCCCGCCCCGCCCCGCCCCGCGTCCCCACGCCACGCCCGCCGGCGGGAACCAGCAGATTGCGCGCGATGCTGCCCCAACCCGCCCGACCCGTTGGTCTCGTGGGCCGTGAGCGAGCCGTGGGCAATCCGTGGGCCTCCCTGTGCTCGAGTCGAGGGCGAACCGCGAGGAGGTTTGTTTGGCCACAACGCCTCGCCCCGCCCCGCCCGCAGGGCTTTGGGGGACCGGGCTGAAACGATAGCCACTGCGCATACGACGCTCTCCGCCGTGAAGAGACCGCCCTGCTTCGCGACGACCACGTGACGAGGCCGTGCGGGCGGCACATCCACGGTGGCGTGACGAGGCCCCCGTCACGCCGGGTGTAACGTTACAGGACACGTTATCCGCGCCGACAAATATTGATATGTTCGATGACGCAAGCGCGCAAGCGCGCCAGCGGGCCCATCGTGACGAGCTAGGCGCGCGGCCCCGCGGCGCGGCGTGGCGGGCCCTTGGCGGATGGGGGCCGCCGAGGTAAGGTTTGCACCTGTCAATACACACGGCAGGCGGGCGCGAAGCGGCGAAGCGTAGTGCCTGAGGACGCTCGCCCTGCAGGCTGATCCCGAGCGCTGCTTTCGTCTTCGTCGCTCTGTCTCTCTCGCACTCGTGGGGCGCCCCGCAAGGGACGCCCCATGGCCACATGAGTGCGAGAGCACTCGTAAAAGCCTACGAAGCATTTGCTTCGTAACTACAAAGAAAATGAAGGCATAGTAGAATTGCTTCGTATTATGAAGAAATGCTTCGTATTGCGAAGGATTTTGCTTCATAATACGAAGCATTTCTTTGTAGATTTTACAAAGCCTTCATTTTCTTCGTATTACGAAGCGATTCTTCGTAGAGTTTTTACTGTGAGAGACAGAGCGACGAGAGCAGTGCTCGGAGTCAGCCTGCAGCAACCGCGAAATGGAACGGCAGTGGGAGCGGCGCCGCGAGACTGCACTGGAACCGGGCCGCTGGAGCGCCGCTGGAGCGTGCCCGTCCGCCTGCCCGCCCGTCCTCGCGGTGCGGCGCGGTGCGGCGCGGCTTGGCGTAGGTCAGGCTCTGGCTCTCGCACTGGCTGCAGCGGACGCCGCGGCGGCAACGCGGCCCATCCGCCACGACACTGTAGCGACACGGCAAGGCCGTCATCCCGTCCGGCCCGTCCGCCTCGCCGCTGGAGGCTGCCGTCTGATTCCGAGCACTGCTTCGTCGCTCTGTCTCTCTCGCACCGCCACGGACCGCCCCATGCGTGCGAGAGAGACAGAGCGACGAAAGCAGTGCTCGGAATCAGACGGCTGCAGCCTGGAGCCGCAGCCCCCCCCTGCAGACTGACACCGAGAGTCGTTTTCGTCGCTCTGTCCCCCTCGCACCTTGACGGGACGCCCCGTGAGTGCGACAGAGGCAGAGCGACGAAAACGACGGTCGGCATCAGTCTGCTGGAATCAGCCACGGCGTGCAGTGTACCCGACGACCGCCAAAGCTCGCCCGCCCGCCCAGCGCACGACACCGAGCGCACGACACCGGTGCCTGGCGGGTTGGCCTACCCCGCCCTCGGCAGGCGCTC